CGGGTAGCTGGGACTACAGGCACATGCCACCATGCCTGCCTCATTTTTTCTATTTTTAGTAGGGTCTTGCTCTTGGTCAGGCTAGTCCTGAACTCCTGAGCTTAAGCAATCCTCCCACCTCAGGAGAGTATTTCTTTATGAAGCCCTTTTCAGCTTTCTGTGGAAGGCCTGGTCATGTTTAAGAATGTGGTGACAGATTGAACCAAATCAACTACCTTAGGACTTCACTCAAGCAAATGTTTAGATGTTGCACAAAAGTGACAGTGGCAATAATAATCACAATGCCTTATCAGGATACGCCATATACTGAGGGTACTCTTATATTTGTCTTCTCCTCATTTTATAGGTGAGGAATCTGAGGCATGGAAGGTTAAGTAATTGGCCCACTAGGGAGAGTTTGGATATCCCGCAGCCTCCTTTAAAAGGTTCACTGTCACCAACAACCCTGTCGGTAGCTTTATTCTCTGTCACCCTAATCACCTGTGTAGAACCAACCACAGGTCTCACCTGGAGGGGCGGGGCTGGGGTCTAAGACTGAGTCAAAGGAACTGAGACCCAAATTCAAATAATCCTCCCTTTAGGAAGGACTTTCTGTTCCCCAGTATGTTGAAATGGGACTTTCTATATAGAAGGCTGGGGCAGCAGTTTCTCAGCATTTTCAGAATCTATTTCCAAGGGACACCTCTCCGCCTAGATGCTCACATCTCTCTCACCACCTTTTTCATGTCCCCGGGAAAAATGGTGGGCCTTTCCCCAGCCACTACTCTTAACTCTTTAATCCTGCGATGTGTGAGAGTGTGTGTATGTGTATGTGTGTCCATTTTGTTCATAACACTGTATTTTTCTAAATGGGAGGGAATAGTGGATGTATCTGAGGATTGGTGGGTCCAGAAGACATGACCCTGAACTTGCCTGTACTCTGTATGGAAGGCATCTGGGACCAAGTCAAGCCAATCCTTCATTTGAGAACAGGTGGAATCTTAAAAATTACTATAACATCTTTTAAAAACAATTATTTCAGTGCTATTTCTTTATGGGGCTATAATTTTGAGAGAAAATTGGCACACAATATTAAGAATATTTTTATTATACCACCTTGAGAATCATTTTTATCATAATCACACAAGATCCTTATTTTAGGACCATTGATAATTCTATCATTTGTTTCATGAAGTTGGTATATGTCAAGTTCATGTTTGTGAGGGAAGGGTAAGTTCAAATAGATCTTAAAGAAAGAACATGGTCTCTAGATAAGAAGTAGTTGTAAGTTAAAAAACAAAGCCTTGCTACTACAGTTTGAAGAAAGATTTCATTCTTTGGCACTTACAACTAACTTATGCAAGCCTGGAAATCATTGAATGGTCATATTCAGATTGTTTTTGTAGATGCCAAAATGGGACAAGTAAATGTTCAAATTTGGACAAGGTCCAACCGGTGACTGCTAACACGTGGTATTCATAGATCACTCCCTTAGACAATTGCTTCACATCAGCCACAGCCAATATCTTATCGGCAACAGATGAAAATGTGAAGAGGTATCATGTTTTGGCATGACCTCAATGGGATTGAGTGACTGAGGTTTTGACTTTGATAAATTACTCACTTCAAAGAGACCTCTTTTCCTTAGTGGAAGCCTAGAAAAAAAATATGATTTGTATAAATGGTGAGGCTAGAAATTGGCAATGAGTCTTCTCATTCTAAAAGCTGTAAAATTTCCTACCCATTGTCAACCTCACCTGAAATTGGTGAGAGCAGGGGTAGGGAAGAGGGTCGAATGTGACAATCTACTGTGCTCCGCGCAATCTTTACATGAGGAGGGACTTTATTACAAGTGTTCTGCTGGAATTTAACACTGGATGCCCATCAACTGATGTAACAGTACCTACCCCACCTGGTAACCTGGACCTTCTGTCAGAAGCCCTCCTACGTGTTAACCAAGAACATATGAAGATCTGGTGAAGGTGCTTGTCAGAGCTCCACCCCACCCCACCCCACCCAGGCTCAGCCAGTTCACTGCACTTACAAGTCCTTATACGGACTCTTCTAGTTTGGGACTCTCCTAACACCAGTCTCTCTTCTATTGATACATCCTGCTTATTCCCCAGGAATAAATAGAAAAATTTTTCCCAAGCCTGAGATACCTCCGGGTCCACATTTACAACCTAGAACTCATCCGTCCTTTTTGCTTTTAATGTTACAACATATTACATTGAATAGAGCTAGACTGTAATTCTGCCCAATGTCAGTCGGTACTTATAATTTGTGCCTTCTCTTTCTACAAAGTGAATTAATGGCCAGCTCCATTAAACCTGCAAAATCCACCAATCCTTAATGTTCAGTTTGCTTAGAATGGGTAACAGTGTTACTTGTTCCTTCTCAGCTGTGACTTCTGGCTGAGCTTTAGCTGAGCCCCTTTTAGATGGTATGCTTTATATCTTGGCCGATTTATTCACTTTCATGTTCCTTGGAATTTATTGCTAAAGGTTGACATGAATGCTTACAGTTTGGGCTCTAATATAATCTCCTGAATGGCAATTAATAAATAAAAGATGGGTACTGTTGTTGACAGAGGAGCGAGTCTTTCTCAGGTAGTTTTCATCTTCGTGTTTTCCCCAAACTTCATGTCAGACATCTCTAGGGGCTGATGGTGTAAAATATTTTCTGTAAACTTCAAAGCTTTTACTGTTGCTTCAATACTCCTAAACCCTATGTTGCCTTTTGTTTTCTTGTCAGAAATGATCTTATTCAATTTCTGTTTCTTCACCTTACCTTCCTTCCTGGGAATATAGGAAATACGCCTTTCTGGCTTTAATAGTAACATGCGTATCCTCAGTATTTGTGACTTGCAGGTAACACCTGAAATTTCTTATACTCTTATTGGCTCAGTCTTACCTCTCTTGAATTTACCAAATATGCACCATCACCTATTAAAGGAAGCATTGAATGGCATCTGTGTATCGTTCAAAATGCAAAATTACCTCCCGTATGTTAATGATGACACTATAAAGCAACATCCTGTTTCTATAGTGCGCCTTCTTGATTAGGCTTCAGGGCTAATCTAGACAGATTTTCTTAGCTTAGAGATGAGGAATAGGGAGGTCAGTTTCAGTAGCTTGACCATATTCAAATAGAGGATGGAGCCCAAATACATCTTTAGGCTGTAAAATATTATATATGGATGGCACAGAGCTGGAAAGCTGGAGCCAGACTCTCTCGGCTATGCTAGACAAGTTATTCACTGCTCCGTACCTCAATTTATTCATCTGTAAAATGGTGGTAACAGTAGTATTGCCAGTAGGACAACTGTCAGGACTGTGGTAAGTTCACACACGTGAGCACTTAGAATGGTGCTCGGCACAGTCCAAGTCCTCCACGCATTGTCAGTTATTGGCCTTATTTTGACTATTTTAGTGTGTTCTGGATGTATGGAAAGGTCTATATTATTGCTATTTAACTGTATGCGGGCGTGTGTACAGTAGGCATTGGTTCTACTTCTTTTGTATTCTTTGTATAACCCAACGCTGTGTTAAGCAATGGTGGTAATAGAAGCAGAAATAGTGATGGTGGTAATAAAAGGTAGGGCGTTTACTGTGCCTTACCGTAACATGTGCTGGGCATTGAAGTAGGTGCTTTACGTACATAGTCCGTAATTTCTACTCAACCTGTATTTATTTTTAAAAGACTGCACAGTACTTTATTTCCAGAAATGCCAACATAACC